AAGAAACCTCCTGCTGAGCAACATCAACTATTCCAATTTATGTGTTCTGCCCTGATAAACACATTTTGCCTATAGATAACTATTAGCATCAAATAAGATTCATTTATAAAGAATGAGCTCTGGATTATGCCCATTAATTCACACAAGATGCTGACATGCCGAAAAAACATTGCTGCTGCTGATTAATGCAGAGACTCAGCCAGTGAGATCTAAAACAACCTTAGCTGGAACCTGGAACACTTTCTACCTCCTGAAGCCATTTCCTAAAATTTGGGGATGCACAATGGTAACTCGCACCAGTTAACCACAGGGTGTCACTGGTGAGGTCTTGAACATTCTTATCCAAATTGCAAAAGCAAGTGACTACACAAAGATAGTAACATACACAAATTAATTCAAATATATGTTAATAGTATCTGTATGAACAGCAGTTTTTCATCTGTCCTCTGCAAATTACCTCAGTGAAAAGAGTTCAGTTTCCTATCATCATTATTATTATATTACATTAATGTAATGCAATATATATTAAGGTTCTCCCCCTTTCCATTTTATCTGCATAACAACAACCCTGGGAGGCAGGTTATACGGAGCATCTGTGACTGGTTTGACTTCACCCACTGAACTTCACAGCTGAGTGGGGACCAGAACCCAGATCTCTCACCTCCCAGTCCATTGCTCGTAATCACTAGGCCACACTGATTGTCAAGTAATCATAAAGTACAGCCCTCACAAAATTAAAGCAAGTGCTGAAATGTTTCTGAACTTCTTGCCATATATTCTGTGACAGACAAGGTCTAGTGAAATTTCACAAGCAGGAACCATAGAAAAGAAGATTGTGAAAGCCTAGAATGATACTGAAACTCAATTTTCATGGTCAAGGCACAAAATGGCAACCCAATGCCTTTGTCTTTCTTCTGCTGTAGTAACATTTGCAAAATGTGAGACACAATGTCTTTGCATTGCTAGCTTTCCCACCCCCACAAATGGAGTCAATTGAGCAAAGTAATACCTTGCATTTTGTGTGACTAAATATTACTAGGAGCAGACAAGAAAGAGATGGAGAATTGCTGCTTTCAGCAGCTGCCATGCATCACTGATAACTAAAACAGCATTCCATTTAGTATCAAAAAACCAGTACGGAAATACAAACATCTCTAATAAAATGAAAGTTCTTCCAATGAGGTATGCACTGTACACATATTTCTCTACATTACTGAACAACAGAACAAGCTGCAGTAAGTCTTCCTGGGATTATTTCTCCCCAAACAATTTCCCATGTAGATTTTCCTTCCTATAGAGATCTTCTGGGATTTAATTAAAAGAAAGAAGTACATTCTTCTGAAACAGTAGTCCAGAGATTTGAGAGTTATGGATACTTCAAGACTGTTTTGAAATTTCAGATGTTGCTTTCACTTATGAGAATTAAATTATACTGTAGATGTCTTACTCAACTTTTTTCTTTAGAAACTAAAAGTTCTCTAAAAAGACGAATACATTTAGTAAGTTAGTAAATATGGTCGACTTCTAAAAATATATCTTGAACATTCATAAAGTCACATTGTTTTACAGACATTTTGTCATATTGGCTTGGATAGTGTATCTTGCATAATGTATTAAATACTACATTGAAGAGTTAAGCCTTTCTAACTTATAATGACTGATTATTCTCCTGACAAAAAGTGATTGTGGAATCTTGTCAGTTTTTGCATTAAATACATTCATTTACATATGTGGGTGAAGGTACATTTCTATTCCTTACCCATTACAATTCTGCTGGTGCTAAGTGGAAACGGTAGGTCACAGTAAGCATAACCTTAATTCGAGAGCAGCCAAAAACACACAGCGAAGACCAGTCTCAGCCCCAGCTGGTAGTAGTAAAGTTTCTTTAGGATGAGTTATGTGCAAGGCTAAAACTTACATGCCTTGAAATATATATTTAGCAGCTATACCCTCCTCCTCCCAGCTCAACAGACTCACAGCTTCCAGTGCAGAAAAAGAGTACCGAGAGGCTTTTAAAATCTATATTGGGGCAAATGTTTTTAACAAGCCACCAAGTCATCTCTGACATTATGGCAACCCTATGAATGAAAGTTTTCCAAAATATCACATCCTTGACATTCCTGCTTAACTGTACTAAATTCAAGTCTGTGGCTTTCCTTATGGAGTCAATCTATCTCTTATTTGGTCCTCTTTTAAATCTTCTGCCTTCTTCCCTAGCATGATTTTCATCTGCAGTGAGTCTTGCCTCCCCTAGACCATGCAAGGGAAAAAATATGTTGTGCTAACTACAGATTTATGTCATATCTATTTGGTCCTGGGTGTGCCTAAGTGAGAATGAATAGGATGCCAATGAGAACTGAAATCTTAACTTTTATTTTGCAATTGATACACACACAATTTGTATGTGTACGATTGATACACACGCAACACCACACACACAATTTATCTAGGTCTGGAAAAGTGATTCATTTTCATGCCCATTATTTAGCTTAGGTGCTCACCATAAGTTAAAGGTGGCAATCACACTTCATGGGATTGAGTAACCTGCCATGGAGTCACCAATGTAATTTGACCTAGTGTCTGTTTAGTGTCATCCAGTCATACAGTGGGTAAATCTTATCTAGGACATTTCTAAAAGATTAGTGGATTAATACACAGCAGCTAAACACATCTGTTTTTGTTATTTACTCCCTTAATTCTTGCATTGGACACATAGCATGGTTATAACAAAATTGGTCAAAAGTTGATTGGTGGGAAGGACCTTGTAAGCACATGTGATCAATGAAGAAATGAGGAGGTAGATCCTGGAACTCTCATCTATTCAAACAATTTTTGGACAACTATCAAAGCAGGTGCCTTCCAAGGAGGCATGCAACTATAAATCACATCATTAAAACACACATGGTATTAAAAATAATAAACACACAAGAAAACAGTAAAAAACAGCTATCTTAAAAACAACACTTTATGCAAAAAAAGAAATGTGCCTGCATTTGTATTAATGGAGCATAGAATGATAAATGTGTGGACAGATTAATTAGAATGGAATGATTATTAATCATTTGCTAGAACAGAACATTGTTCTAGATGTACTGCTGATGGATCAGACCAAAGGTAATTCTTCCATTCTTATGAGTGACCACTTACTGTGTTTTATATTTTCCAGTAAAAATATAGGAAAACTAACAATTACAGTTAGTGTCCCTCACAAATCTCAGTACATAGCTTAATTACCAAACAATCTTAGCTTCTTTTTTTCTAGCTACATTTAAAATAATTTTGCACACAGCTGTGTTTGATTGTAGATAATAAAGGAAACTGGATTCTTCAAGGAAAATTATATGTTATTGCAAACTAACTAAAGGAGCTTCTAACCAAAGGAGCATCTGTGGCTTAAAGTCTCCTATTCTATGATATCAATTTAAACTTAAAAGCTAGGCAGAAAGGTTTCATCCTGTAAAAATGTTTATTAAAATTAAAATAATTCTTCTATACTGTAACGTATTTGTGCATATTACAAAGCATACATGTAGGGCTAGCTTTGGGGGGGGGATGTTTGAAGTGACAGTACATCATATTTCTAAAAATACGTTTCTATAATTACAGTTGTCTGTATGACTTGAGCAAAAAGCAAACATCAAACTCAGTTTAAAAGGCAGAAATACAGGTAATCCCCAGGTTACAAACAATCCATACTTACACAGAGTGCCAAAAACCCTATATGAATACATCCAGGGAAAAACTGTAAATATTTCTAGGGAACTATGCATCCACTGATGATGCATTGTCAAACACATTGCATAGTTCCCAAGAGATATCCACATATTTTTGTTAGATATGCAATAGAGATATTCGAGGCTTTTCACTACAGATAGTCACAGATATCTCTAGGGAACTACATGAAGCGTCTCTCAGTGGCCGTGTAACTCCCAAGAGAAACTGTATTTACGGATTTTTGTCACATTGAAGTAGAGATGACAAAGTTTAGGAACAAGATCCTAACATGAAGAGGTTCACAAAGATTTACAGTGCAGTTAACAAGCTGCTACAAGACCATTTATGATGAGGAAAAGAAAATGGCTGTACAAACAACTTCCAGAAAGTGACTCCAGTATTAACCCCTCCACCCCAGCAGCACAATCAAATCCTGACTCTCCAGTGTCAGGTCCATCTTCATCATCATCATCATCATCATCATCAGTTAAGAACATTCTAAACCATTTAAAAAGCTGTTTTTCACAATGCTGTATATCTGCACACATACACACAGATTCTCTCTTCAGTACCTGTATTTATTATATTATTCCTGTATTATTATGATTACTGCAATGCTGTGCTGTGTTTAAGAAGTTTTAGTGAGCATGGAAGTGTGTGTGCGCGCATATACTATGAAAAACATTTGGCTTAATCATGTGATCCTACTTACATATGAATTAAACTCATATAAATAGAACTCATTCTTAACCCAGGGACTACCTGTACATAGATGTTTCCATGTTGATTTGGTACTTCTTATGCTAACTAATACACACACACAATGGCCCCTGAGTCTTCTTGGGCAGGTTACAAATAAAGCTTTTAAAAGCCTGTTCACACAATCTCAAATGTAGAATCACACAATCCAATTCTATGACTAGTTTAACAGTGAGTCTCCTAACTCAAGCACACCAGTGCATTTGTAGCAGTGAAATGTGGCTGGAAGAGAAATAGCTGTCCTTATGAGAAAAGTGCTGTCCATATGCATCAGAACTCTCTATCATCAAAACAGATCTACAAATGGAACCTTGAAGGTTCCATTCAAGATCTGGTCTGGAATACAGAATAAAAGAATTCTGAAGATAATGAAATATTCATAGCTCTTCACACAAATAAAATCAGCAGTATACTAAAGGCATGAAAAACAGCACATATGCAACTATTATTAATTGTAATGGTTTGTTGGGGCACACATGATCAAATACAAAAAAAATTAATAACTTTCACAAGTTAGTTATACCTACTTTGCATAATTAAAAAGTCTACTGTCCCAAAGTGCATGTGTTCCTCTAGGTCCAGAATGGAAAAATGCTGAATCTGTACCATCAAATTTGTTCAGACCATCTTCAGAGTTCTTTGACGCATGACTATGTACAACATCCAGCAGGACAGTAATCCCCATTGAGTGGGCAACATCAATCAGTTCCTTCAAGTCTTCTGGAGGTCCATAGCGACTAAAATGGATAAACATTTAAAATGATTGTTTCACAGACTTTACTTTTTGATTTCTTTCTCTATGGTTCATTAGAATAATGCATATCTGCTTACAGGTAGAGCATTTATTTTATGTGTATATGTTTTTTCACACTTCTATGTAAAATAAGCTCAGGTAGCAAGGCTAGAATGTCCTGCCAATAAAAATAAAATGAGATGAGATATTTTTTTTTTTTTTAGGATTCATAATATTCTGTAAGCCGTCCAGAGACAACAGTGATTGATGGCCTATACATTGCCTAAATAATATAATATAATATAATATAATATATTGCACTAAGCAGACCAATAGCCCTGCTTAATGCAATATATTAGACTCATAATGATTATAAGCTACCATATACATCCTTTATTAATATATTGGCATACTGTACCTCTGTGAATTTCAAAAAGGATCAGAAAGGTAAATTCACCAGGAGACCTCAAGCAAATCACTATCTTTTGCCTCAAGTCTACAAAAAATGAAAGTTGATGTATCTCACACATGGCTGTTGTGAGCATGTATGAGAAAAAGACTGTAAACCACTTTACACAGTACAAGTACCTTCAAAATGAATGACAAAAATTTTAATTTGCCTCACTTCTCAGCCATTTCAGAAGGAAATTATATCCTAGTTCACATTCAAACAGATTTTCAGAATTCATTTTTTGTCCCTTCAATTTCATCAGCATACTATTCTTAATTATAATGCATATTGAATAAATCTAGAAATAGAATTGCAATGAGGAGGAGAAACAACCATATATGTTCTTCTCTTTCTTATTCTTAAATTGCATTTATTTATAGAGTAGGCACTTTGACACAACCACAAATGCAGTCTTGTGATAGAATGAGATACTCTTGATCATAAATGCAAAAACAAGTGGCTGATCAGATATGAGATGTGCGGTGATCTGTTAGGTTTCTAAAACAAGTACATTGAATGTAGTAATGTACTATTTCTACACATAATAGTACATCATGTACTATTACTCCAGCATAGTACTGGAAAACAGACAAGAGAGCTGTTATCCTATCCACATATAGGCAGAAAAAGGGTATGCGCTATATAGGACTTCAGACTTCAGTTCTGACATTTAAAAAAACCCTCAACTGGTTCTGAACATATTTTATGCTTTTTAACCACATTAACTATAGCTGATTTCAGTTACAAGCTGATCTCTTCTACAAAGTGCAACTTACTTCTTTTTTCCGAACTAAGATAAATTGTTGCAGTTTGAATATTTTTATCTTACTCCCATTTTATTTAATTTTACATCCACATTATGACCAAGAAAAATGGCACCCCAGGTAGTTTACGATCATAGACAAGACTTGATTAAGACAAATGCATTAAAACAATTAAAATGTAAAGGTGTTGTTACATCCCTTTCCTGAGGTAAAACAAGACCAGGCGGCAAAGAAATAACTGTTTCATTTATTCTCTCTCCTATTGTTCTCATACACTTTCCCTCTCTGTACCATTAAGGACAGAAGATTGCCACATTGTATTGAGAGAAGTGATAGCTTTGCATACAGGAGGTCTCCGGTTCATTCACTAGCATATTTGGCCAAGGCTATGAAACAGTCTTGCCTGAAGCTCTGGAGATCCGTCACCAGCCAATGTTGTCAATTCTGGCTGAGATGGACCAATAGCCGGACTCAGAATGAGACTGCTTTCTATGGTCCACAGGTGTACAAACAGTAATAAAGTGTGCTGCTTTTATTGTATTCTGAAATCAAATTTAATGAAGGCCAGTATTTAAATGCTCTAAATAAAAAGTAATCTATACTGCATTCAATGGAACACACCCACTGATGCACTTCTGATTTTCTACATTTTCCTTTAAATAGTAAAGAAACTTTCCTGTGTGTAGCGTGGAGGAACTAGCTCCAAGAAAGCTCACCAAAAGGCATGCTTTCTTTAAGACCCCACTGCCTCTTCTGTAATCTCACAGTTGATAGGATGCAGTCAACTCACAGATTAAGGGACCATGGGGATTGGGTAAGGAGCAGCTGATCTTCTGCTGAAAAGAAGGCATTTGCTGAAAATAAGGCATTCCCCATCCCATTCAACTCCCAGCTGTGGTGGGGTCATCTCTTAGGTGTTGTTTTCCAGTGGAAATATTTGCACTAGCAGCATGAGGAATGTGCAACAAATGCACACGCCTTAGGTATTAACTGTTTGGGAGGGTCTGGACTACATGGCTCCCCCAACAAAGGATTTTCCCTTTTTTAAGGCTCTGCCTGTGCTCTTTCCTTCCTTCCCTTTTGGAAGAATACCTAATTTACCAGCAGGAATGGTGACGACATTTTTCCGTTGACTATCACTTTTATCCAAATAGAAACAACAACATAAATGTTAAATTGCTAATTATTTATCCTAAAGCATCCTCTTCTCCTAACATTTTTACTTTCCAGGCTAGCCAATTCAACATATGAAGAACTATGCTAGATCAGATGAAGATCCATCTGTATTCTGTCCATACCGTGGCAGGCCATGCACCTGTGGGAAATTCATGAGTAGGACACAAATGCAACAGCACCCTCCGAGTTGTGTTCCCTAGCCAATGCTGCACTTAGAAGAATTTCATAGGCATAATGAAATTATAACTATACTGGCAGAATTATAAAGTCAGCTGGACTAGTAAACATCAACAACTTTATTGTTCATGAATCAGCCGAATCCTCTTTTAAAATCAGGTTGGTGGCCAACACTACATCCTGTGATTGCAAATTCCAATGTTCTGTGTGCTGCATACTATTAAAGATTCCTAGAGACCAGCCTTCCTCACCATGGTACCCTACTGAAGTTTGGACTGCTATGCTCATGGGCCATGCTGGCTGGGAATAGCAAGACCAAGACTGGAGCTGAGTATAGTGAAAAAGGTTACAATAGACTTAGTGTCACAGAACACAGAGACACTTTTCAATTCATCTCCTGTCCACAAAGAAAATATAATTTGCTTGCAAGAGAAATTTCAAACCCCCTAAATATTATTTTGTTCATCAGTGTTAAACTTTTTCACACAACATGTGCACAATTCACCCTGAATGGATTACGTACCACATAGGGGCACAAATGAAATATTAGAAAGGTAGTTGTACATGTTCTGAACTGTGGTTTTTCATTCATATGGTATATCCAAGGCAGGATAGAAATCACTAACTACAAATAGCTATACCTTATGCTATCCTTTAAATCAGGGGTGAACAACTTGTGTTCCTTTCAGCCTTAGCCAGTAAAGTCAAACATGAGGGACTACAGGAGTTCTTGAACAAAACATTCAGAGGGCCACAAGATGCTCACTTGTGTGTTTCATTATTACCACAGCACCATGGGAGGTGCTTTTCCTTGTCTTTCTTGGAACACTGAAAAAATATGCAGTCAACTTGATCCTTACCAAAACATTGATTTAAGGGTGTTTATAACACCTCCCTTGTTAGAGATCACCAGATCTCTAACATGCATGTGAGCAATCTAGTAATTACAGAAGATTCAAAATATTTGTAATAATGATGGAGTATAATCCTCTCAGGACTGTACCAATGAACAAGGGAAATTTCACAGGTAAATACAATTCCTGAACAGATGAAAAGTGGAAATCTTAAGTTAAAACAAACATGTTCTATCATACCTTGAAGCTGCAAAAAAGCTTGTGATCTGATAACCAAAACTGGCATAGTATGCATGTTCCATCACAGCCATCAACTGAATACAATTATATCCTGTTTTCAAAAGAAGAAGAAGAAAAAAAGGAAACAAAGTTCCATGTTTGGTGGTGGTTTTATTTCTAGCTGACTGGACCACTATATCTAAATTTTATCTAAAAGACACATCACATGAGTAAAGGATATAATGTCACCTATTATCATCAAATCTACAAAACTAAAGCCTAAGGGGGATATTTTACCCATTCCAAATGGATAAGATTGATTTCTCAAGTGATCCACTTTGAGAAAGAAATACGGGATATGAAAATATAGTCATAATTTGACTTTAAAATATTAATGATGCCAATATGCATGTCCTGAACTTCAACTGCACTTTTGATATTTACAATATTGATCATAAAAGGAAAAATAGTAACTTTACTACAGACATATTAAACCTTGTGCTTCCCTTAATGTTTCAAACATATTCCATTTCTATCTAATCGTTAACATATTTTTCTCCAAATTCATTTCCCTCAAGGAATATCTCTAAAAAGAACAAACATTAAAGCAATGGAATTTTGCTTTGAAGCTTACTGAAGGAGTTGAGGACCAAAGGAAAAGAAAAACCTTGCTTTTTGTCCCCTATCCAACCAAAAATGTTTTTCTGTGATATTAAAAGAAGGAAATCTGAAGGGAAAAATGCAGTTTAATGATGAAATCACTAGCACTAAAAACAAATCTTTTACTAAGCTAACTTTTATGTCAGCAAATAAATGCCCCTTCAAACCACCAAGCAAGCATTATAAGCAAAGTATAACCTTCAGATCTGTTCTGAAAGTCTGTGGTGGCCACAGTTTCTCTTGATTTTTAGTTTCAACTAAATTTTTGGGCACACCATTTAACCTATTGCTCAGCAAACTTTACCACTGTTTACTTAAGTAAACTGCAATGCCATTATTTCTCTTTTGCCTTCAAATCAAAGGAAAGCTACCAGTTGGATGGTGTCAACACAGGCTGTAATCCTAAGTATTTTGCTATGAATTCTTCCATTGAATTTAATATGACTTTCTTGTAGATTAACATAGTTTTGATTCCTTTGTCCAATCTGATTGCAGCTATTGTATAACCCATTTAGATTAGTCCCTATATAACTTCTGTACATGCTGTCATTTTGATTAGCATTGATAAATTGATTTTAACAGGGTGTTTGCCTATTCCTAACACATTTTTGTCTGATGTGTTACTTTGTGTGATTGCAAAGTCACACGGAAAGTTGTTTTGTATTAATACTGAACAACTTTAAAAACTGGCTCCAAAGATATTATTTTAAATACTTTTTGCAGTATTCAGTAGGTATGAATATAGTTACACAAACCTTTTCTGTACTGTATTAGTTTGTGCATGGCTATTTTAATTTCATTTCATTTTTACTTGGCAACTAATCCAGGTGTTCCTCTATAAAAATAGCTTTATGAATGCATATTTAAAATACCAGTATTTTTTAAAAGAGTATCTTTTGCTCTCTACAATGATGAAGGAAATATTAGCTACTTTGCTTGCAACAGTATGGTAACCCAAGGATGTAAGCAAATGCATGCTGCCAAATCAATAATCTGAAATCGCTTTATTTCTGGATGCTCTACAAATAAATGATCTAAATACTGTAAGAAGCTCTCATCCACAGGTGAATTTCAGTCCATTTTTAAATATAAACCTGTTATTTCTGTACCTGTTTCATACACTAAAATACATTGCTATGATGCATTAAATATCAACACAGAGACAATCCACAGACTCTTGAAATGAGCTTTTCTAATAAAAGCACAGGGCTCATTAAAAATTTATCTCAGAAGAAGCCTCAGATATTACTTACCAAGATCCTTGACTTTCGGAAGTACATTGTGTGTGAAGTTTTTATATGAAGCTATTTTCCCTTCAGGGGAAGCAATTCCCACATGAGATTCATAGATCTTTAAGCTTTTAGGCTTCTTAGGAACAGGATGTCTCTGCTGCACAATGGGAAAAATGGTTTGGGAATAAAACTATGAGAAGCTGTCAGTTATATTAGTCAAGAACTGGTAAGCTGTGCTAAAAATCTGAACCAGCAGATTCAGTTTAAGATAAATACAACAAATTGCATACATTTGTGGGGTCTGGGGACTCCTGCTCCAATCTTGAGCAACCCTATATAATTTTCAATTTGTTCATCACAAGTCAGTGCAGCCAACCAAATGCAGCAGTGGCCAGGTATCCAGCTAGTTACTTATGTTCATCTTGTCCAAAACTTCTCTCAGAAAATGCAAGAAATTGGAAAGTCTGTTTCATTGTAATTCACTGGCAGTTAAATTAAACCAGCAGACATTCATAATTCCTCTTCTCAGAGGAATTCAAGAAAACCCTGGGTGATGCACAGTATTCTGTGGTACAAGAAAATTTGAAATCTCAGTTGATACAGAGGACTGGACAATCACATTGGAACTCAGCAGTGACCTGAAAGCAATAAACAACCCTGGAATACATACAACAGCTCTCCCATACCCTCTGACCAGTTCACATGATCACCACAGTTCATTGTGGCTTATCAAGCCATAACAAACCATGGGGCCTCTCCTGAATATTCAGGCCATTGCTGTGGCTTGTTGTGTCATCTGAACCCAAGGTTTGTTTTAGGGTTTAGGATTATTTCACCCACAGTCCCTGGTCTCAGACAATACCACAAGCTGTGGTTATAGCCTGAATATTCAAAATGGCTGTGCAACACACTAGAAACCTAGCATGCCTTAAATGAGCCATAGCAGGTTGTTTGATTAATTAACCCACTGTAGGGAAGGAATGGTGATGGCACCATCCACCACAACCACTTTTTGCACCAAGGAACCATGGGTTTGCTTCCCAGGAAATCTGAGGTCCCATGGTGCAGTTTCAGTTTTCAAACAGTGTATGATTTTAAACATGTAGTTCAAAGTATCAATTTCTTTACTACTATCTGCAATAACCATTACCCCTAGAATTGTACTGGTTCTCCAGCTCACAAACCCTGTCTTTTCTAATTCCTATCATTGAATATAAAGGTTATTTTACTAAGCATATTAGAAGGAATAGTACATAAAGAACATCATGAATTAGTAACTAAACTTCTGACTGTTGGAATAAATGTAATTAAAAGGAATCTGCGAAATTAAGTAATAACTATCTTATAGGAGAGGATTACTAAATATGGAATGTCGCTAAGATGTCAAAGTTCATACAGTTTGTAAGATTACAGGAAGACAGAGCACAGAAAGTTTTACAAGTCGTTAGTTTTACAAGGGTTGATGTGATTTTGGAAGACAAAGCACAATAGGTATGGATGCTTTACAGTACTGCAAACAACTTTAGTTTTGTAAACAGAGTTGTCTCCTTGTTGATTTTCATTAGTTGTATTTATAGTTAATATTGAGCTTTGGAAAGAGAAGATGAAGGGAGTCGTGCTAGTAGTCTTCAAATATGGGAAAGGGTGTCATGCAATAGGGGGAGGCAAGCTTGTTTTTTCTTGCTCCAGATGGCAGGAGGATGGGTGGGAACTGCAGGGAAACAAATTTCAACTTAACTCTAGGGGAAACTTCTTAAGAGTGATACATGGTCAGAAATAAAACAGTTTGCCTCCAAAGCTGTGAGTTCTCCTTTGCTGGAGGTATTTAAATAGAGGCTGGGTGTTATCTGTCAGGAATGTTGTAGCTGCATCCTTTCCAATTCTTTGATTATATGAGATGCAGTCCTCTGGCATGTGTCCCTGATGCTTTTAACCTTGTCAGAGGCTTTCCAGCAATCTCTGTGGATATCGGGAAAAGCAGTCAGCATAATTCTTTACACACTAATTGTGAGAAGGCAGGAGTGGAATCTGAATGTGGATCCCCAGTAAACCCTATGGCCACCTAGACATTATTCTGATTTTATATATACTATGCATGCTGAACAAAAAGTATGTTGAAATATTTATAATGTACTTCTGTAAAACTAGATTTTTCAGAAGAAACATGGTTATTAATTATACCATCATACAGTTAAAAGGGACCTTGGAGATCATATAGCTGGGCTCCCTGCTTAATGCAGGCTCTGGATTGTAGGATACTGCTAAAGAATATTTGACAGATGGACAAGAAGTATCTGCTTAAATACCCCCTTGTTTCAGCGTTCCCAATATGTTCTTCAACCATCTTAGGAATAGTGTGTGAACTTTGAAAAAGAAAAAAATGGTAGCAACTCAAAATAAGAAGACATAAAAGGATTCTACTGAGATAGAATAGGCCTTCTGCTTGGTTTTTTTTATATAGGATCAGATTCCAAATATAGTTGAAAAGGATGAAGTTTCATTTCATCCAAAGTTTGTAACAAGCATTAGCCTATTTTTCAGCAGATACCTTGCACAAGTGTCTATATTTAGAACAAGTGTTCAGTCACTTCAATCAAATGCATCTACAGGTGGATATTCTTTTTAACACTTTACTATTTATTAAAAGAGTAACAACTTACTCTGTATGGTGTTGGTGGTTCCCAGTATATCCAGTCATAGTTCACACTGTTAGTTTCACGAACAACATATCTTGCCCAAGGAGAAATGCGATAGAGAATTTCTCCATTCTGGCTTCGAATCACCAGCTAGGGGAATATTTTTTAAAAAGAGAGAGAAAGAAAGATTGGACTAAAGTCAAAATCAGATTAAGTGGCTTCCATTGAAAGCAGCAACCACATGCCCCGTATCCTCTGCCAGTAACATTTCATAACTTACATAGCAACTGAAATGGCATCATCATTCTGCAAGTTGCCCTAGCCCCACACAAGGGGCAGTCCATGAAGTAGGCTAGGAAAATCCTTAACACCATGTTGCTTATGTGTTTCACATTACTAACTGTTGCTTGGAAAGGAGACCATGCAAGTACAATTTTATTGTGGTAAGCAGTTTGATTATGTACAAGTCAGGTAGTAATAGAGAGGTAAAACACCACCTGTAGTGTTGTCCAAGGTGACCTGAACATGCTTGTCCTTGATGTGGGGCAGGAATGTGATCAGCAACTTCTAGAGTGTGAGGAGCTCAGCATAGTTGATATGCTCCCTTTGATCCCAATCCATCCAAAATCCATGGGTCCTGCTGCCTGCCAAATGTGCTCCCCTGCCCAGGTGGAATGCGTCCATCATCACAGTAATGTCCTATTGATCCATCACAAAGGTGGCCTGCTCTTCCAGGTTGCATTGGCAAGTCTACCCAGGTGATGCTTGCCCAGACAGAATGCAGGAGCACCAGCTGCTTCCAGGCCAAATCATGCTGGGACCAATAGTTGTGCACAAATCACAGTTATAGTGGCCACATCTGTAGCCTGGGAAAGTAGATGACCAAGACTGTCGCTGCCATCAGCCTCAGGAGCCACTGTGCCTATCACACCATGGTCCTTAGTTTGACCTGGAGCCCCCAAACAATCGACCAGTGCTGCTGTCCTGTCTGCTGGAAGGTACACCCATACTGTTTTCATGCTGAGCCTTGCCCTGATTTACAAGATGGACTGGGAAGGGAAAAGGACAGATATATCACTGTTAATACACAGTCCCATCATGCCTAAAATGTTGCATGTGACCTGGATTAAGTCCAAAAGTTTGTTTAAGCACAGAGCAACAAGCAACCAGTCATCCAGGTAGAGGAACACCTGAATCCCCTGCAGTCAGTGGTGGGCACAAATCATGGCCATGCACTTGGTGAAGACTCAGGGGGTTGTGCAGAAGCTAAATGTGAGCATGAAGAACAGGTAGGCATTGGGTTCGATCTGGAACTGGGGGAAATGCAAGTTGTCTGGATGGAAGATGACTATGGCTGAAAGCAGACATCTTTTAGGTCAACTGAAGTGAACTAGTCCCCTTGGGTGCAGCAGTGGCAGAACATTCTGCTGTGAGATCATGCAGAAATTTTTATAGAGGGAAGAAGAAATTTATGTCCCACAAGTCTGGGATAGGACAGAAGCTGCTGTCATTCTTCGGTACTGTAAAGTACCACAAGCAGAATCCACAATGGAGAATGAATGGAGGAATGGGTCAGATATCTCCTTCTGAGAGCTGCATAGCTACTTTCTCTGCTAGCATAAGGGAAGGCAGTGTCAAGAACATGGTCCTGAGCAGAGGAAGGGTGTTGAATTTGATGTGGAGAGAACCCACCAAACTGAGGTTATGGCTTCCTAGGTGGGAAGGTAGGTAGTCAGGTGGTCTTTGAACCATATCTGCGTGGCTGGAGGGGGATGCCTCACTGCAGCATTAGCAATGCTACCTCCTGATGTCCAGTTGCTTTTGTTACTGCTTGAAACAAAATGTGGTGTTCGTCTGGCATGGCTGGGCAGGCTGCTGGTGGTGCACAGCTTGCTGGTACTGCCCCATGCTTTGGTATGGGAATCAGCCCCCAGTCCACTTACATGACTCCTCTTCATGGCCCTGGCTTTTTGGACAGTGTCAAGTTTTTCATCAGCATGGCTGCTGAAGAGGCCCCTCAATGATGAAGAGCAGCCCTTCACTCCTGGTGAAAACCCCTGGGAGAGGCTCACTGCCTGGAGCCAGGCATGCTGCCGGATAACTACCATGTTGAGTGCCTAGCAGTCACAGCTGATGTGGTGATGAGCAGTGTTTATCTGATACTCAGATAGCAGGAGGGCCTCCATCTGAAACAGCCTAGCCAAGACCAGGTATTGTTCTGGGAGGAAGTCAGCAAGGATACACATCTTCTCCCATAGGAAGCCTCGGCATCTCCCCAAAGTGCCTTGATAATTGGATATGAAGGCTCAGCCCCATTGCCATGTAGATCTTTCTCACCACAGTATCCATGTGGCACACCTGCGCTGACTCTATGATGACGGAGTCTGACCGGGGATGCTGCAGAAAAAATGAGATATCTCACTTCTGGACCCAGTACAGGCTCTCCAAAAAGTGTGATGTTGGCTGCAGCTGTGCCAGTGCCTTCCACAGTTTCTTCATGGATTGGTGGAGCATTGGAAGGGTGAGGATGCCCATTGGCATAGTGTCCTCTGTCCAGATGGCATTGTAGACTAGTTGTCACTGGGTCAGTGAACTGCTGTGTCTCCAGTTCAAGCAAAGGGTCTTTTCAGAGAACCTTCCCAGTTCTTTGGAAAGCCAAATCTTGATAAGCCAAAATTACATCTTCAGGTGAGGTGGTCAGCAAATCTACAAGGAGTGGCAGCATGTCTGAGGCATAGTCATCTGGGCCTGAAAACAATTCATCTCTGGCTAGTGAAGCAGGCTGATGGGTCAGGACCAGCAGCTGAAGTGTGCCAGGCAGCTGGGGCACAGGAACCAGGGAAGTGCATGATTCCTCTGAATGGTAGGCTCAGGGCCCCCACTGCAGGAACGGCAGGTCGATGGGGCCTCTCTGCTATGGATGGCTGCAGCAGCAGGGGAGACCTGGACTGTTCCCTTAGCTTGTCTGCTGGAGGCTAACAGCAGCATTGGAAAGGCGGCTTCCCATGAGCACCTGCTGGATGGACTCACTGGTGACATCAGTGTCTGTTGCTCTCGATGTGGGGAGAATAGCAGCCTTGTTGGGGAGCTGCTAGTGGGCCAAAATTGGGGGTGGCAAGTTTCAAATCATTTCTTCAGAAAAGGACTGTGTCACCTCTGGTTCTGCCTGGATGATCACAGAAACTGTTGCAGGAACTTTCATGGGGAACTCTGCAGGAACCAGAGCTGGCTCAGGTGCAGACAAAACCAATGGAAACGGGAACCTCAGGCACTTTCTGTGCTTTGCTGCTTGTCCTTTGTCCTTCTGCACCTCCGCCATCCTTTTGGCCTTCTTGGCCTGCTTCCTCTCCCTGTGTTCTTTGAAATCTGCACACCCAGGCATAGGCAGCATGGATAGGGTAGCCAGTGGAATCTCAGCAGCTGCCAGTGGAGGGTGGGAAGAAGGAGTCACCTGCAAGGTACACGTGTGTGCTGGTGGCACCACTGTGACTGAGTTGGTGGGTGGGCCCTAAGTCAGCCCCTCCAGGCCAGGCATGTGAACTCCTGGCAATGAGCGCAGGAGTCCACACAGCGGCAGAACAGGCATAAAAAGTGATCATCAGTGGAAGGTAGACAGCTTTCACATTGAACAGAATTCCTTAAGTCCACCAGGTGAGTACCTTGCATGTCAGAGAAGACTGGGAGAAATACTAAAAGACGTTCAAAAGAGAGATAACAACAGCATATTTTTTTGGAAAGTTTTTTTTTTTTTTCATTTTAAAGATTTAGTGGAGCTTTTGGGGGGAAAGGATCAAGAAAAGTAAAGCATGAGCGGAACAAGAAAAAGGAAGAGATAGATAATCAGGGAAATTTCAAGAAAGAAAATGGTAACAGATGGTAGAAGCACAAGGAGAGACCAGAGGCACCCACAATGGCAGTCAGAAAAGAACTGGGGAAATGCCAGGAGCCCCTCCTAGCTATCCTGAAGGAAGTAGGGAGGAAAGGGAAGAGCTCCCACCAGAATGGTTTACCTAGGAAAACATTCTGGACAACAGGTCCCATGTAGATGCCCAGCCCATATGTATGATGCACAGAAACCATGAAGAAGAAATAGAATTCCTTTGGGGAAAGAGAAAATCAAAAATACATGGGATCAAGAAAAGAGAGACTGTTGTCAAAGAAGGGAAGCAAAGAAAGAAAATTCAGGGGAACAAAAATATATGAACCCTAAATGAACATGGATCAAATGTACCCTCAGGTTCCACAAAATGACAAGTATGCCCATGGACTCCAAATGTCTTCCTACCCCTGTTCTAAAGTGTGGAGCAATGAATACAAATGGCCATGGTTACCTAAAAATATTTAAATATTTAGGTGTGTCAAAGGTAGACAGCAGGATGACAAAAATTGACATCTTTGTAATTTGGAGTATTCGTTTTCCAGAGCTTTACTAAAGCTTAAGTTGGAGCCTTTTAAAACAGATATCTGTTTATTCATGCAACTGGGATGCTGGCTCCCAACAGAGAATATGAACTTAGCTTCCTTTGAGGATATGAAGTACTTTCTATCCGTTATTACTTAATCATTGCTGCACAACAATTTCTAATAGACCAATTTCAAAATGATATTCCAGTAACATGTGGGTGGGTCAAGAAGAATATGATTTAAACTGTGGTTTGGTCTGGAGAAGCTCAACAGGGAAGCTAGCAAGCCAGCAGAGGTTCAGGAAGTGATCCATGCAGCACACTGAGGGCCAAACTGCTCATACTGCGGAGCCAGATCAGAGTCAACAGGCACACACAACTACCTAGGACCACAGTATCTCCTTGCTATACCTGATCTCCTGCTAGGATTAAAACTACAGTCATTTCATTTTGTGTGGATACATTTAAAAAAAAAATAAGCATTTGTATCATGCTAAGAAAATTTATGAGCAACCATTTATGCAGTATCCCAGCCTGCTGAACAGGCAAGTGAATAACTAGGTCAAAGTAGGTCACCTGAGCTAATTACACCAGCCTGCAGAATCTCCCTAGGATTCTAACAACCATGACTACTTATTTCATACAGGAGTGTATTGCTCCAGGGAAAGGTCTGAGAATTCACATATTTAAATGAGATCAGAAGCGACTTGCACTGCACATATCCCCACAGAATGAGATATACAGTTT